TTTAATATTAAATTTTATCATATAAATTTATAATTATTGTTAGTAAAAATTATTTTTAATATTACACGTATTTAAAGATCTAAATAGCTATAATAGCAGGATTTTGTTGTCGTTTTTGAATCTTTCTCGAGGTAACAATGCTCCCCCCTAGTGTAGGATCGTTAATTAATCTGAAACTTTTAAAACCATTTATTTTCTTTCAACACCATCACTTGATAAGTTGAAAAGTGATTTTATAACATACTTATGTTATAAATTTTTTATAAAAATAATTATATATATATATATATATATATATATATATATATATATATATATAATATATATATATATGTAGTTTTTTTTCATTGTATTTCTCCAATCTTTAAACAAGGTGTCAAATATTGTACTCGAAGATGAGTTGACCATCCATGTCAATCAAAGTTCTTTTTTAATCGAACTTGTTTATGGAATAGCCTAAATAAACCTTATTTAGATGCGAGGGTTTTGCTCGCCCTAACAGCACAAGGCCGAAAGTACAGGGCACCCAGTAAGGATCGAACTCACTATTCAGTCGTAATTGTTCTAGCGAAACAAGATTGCTAACCATTACACCGCCTCGAGGTGCCCCTCCCTCTCAGAATATATGTCAGTTGTGCGTAGTTTAAAATGTAACCTATATAAATGTAGGTTTACAAAGTTCAAATCTTGATAAAATAGCAACAGCAACAGCAACGGTAACAATGCACTGGGACTCCCATGTCAGGGGTTTCAGGTCTAGTACCGATATATATATATATATATATATATATATATATATATATATATATATATATATATATATATATATATATATATTGTTCTTTGATCGAAAGGATCATTACAATTTAATAATGGATTAGAACGTTCGTATTCTGACCATAAGACTCGGGATCGAATCTCACCATGGTCGATTTGTCAGGAAGGATATTTAAGTAAATGCTCTGTTTATAATAAACAATATTAAACAACATTTACCGGCCTGAAGGTCCGAAAAGTGGCGTCCAGTTAGCAAGGTCGATTCTACTGTCTTTAAACTACAATCTTCCATGATTCTCTCACGTACATTCATATCTGCTCATGGCGTATCCAAAAGTAAACAAATGACGTCACACATTATGAAATGGACAAAATCCGACAATTACTTTAACCGAACGCTCCTCTGTGGCCAAATCTGTTAAAGGCACATAGGATACAGGTTCGATTCCTGTCGGAGGACGAATATTTTCTATGAAAATTTCTCAGACATTGAAGCCGGTAAATGTTATTTAATACTGTTTATTATAAACAGAGCATTTACTTAAACATTTGTATCTATAAAAAGAATGTAATTTTTTTTTAATTTATTTATATATATATATATATATATATATATATATATAATTATTTATTTAAAAATATGATTCCAACACGCTACATAAGAGGTCTCATGTTTCAAAACAAGAGCCGAAGACTTCAGTATAATTATTTAAATTAAATTGAATTAAAGTAAGCTCTGTTCCATCTTCAAGCGAAATTTTTTGGGATTATTTACCTAATGAGTTCTTTCCTATTTTCTATATTTTCACACACACACACACACACATATATATATATATATATATATATATATATATATATATATATTGAAAAATATTCAGTTTTTTTCTGTTAGATTGTTCTTTGATCGAATGGATTATTACAATTTAATGGTTAATTGGGATTTTTTTATTTGAAAATGATAGATTATATATCAATCGCACATTACTAATGTTTTGTCATATATGGATGGATAATTAATGTTTTTTATTATGATACGCAAATAATAATAATAACGTAAATATTCAAGCAGTATGAATTCGATTTGCGTTTCTCAAAACCGACACATCAGGTTAAAATTTTTTGCAAAATAGAAAGAAATGTATATTAAAATCTTATACACGATTATTTTACAAAGAAAATCGTTTTTGGCTAATTTGCAGTTTAGCACCCATTAAAAATTTCCAGAATACTTACATTATTTGTAATTGTACATTCTCCATTCGAATCTGGCTTGATAAATTTGATAAAATCTACCATTTTTGAGGTATCGACAGTGAAAGCTCGGATTCATTCTCGTCGTTGGCATCAGCCATTACTGTCATTGTCTGCATACATTAGCTGCGGAAAGCTAAACGCGGAAGACTACGCAAAGCTAAGCGCGGAACTGATATTTCTTGTCTAAATTTGTCTTAATCACTGCTCACGAGAACTATTTACGTAGATAAGCTCAGTTTATGCAATGATACCTGCACTGATAGCTATCAGGTCTGTTGGCTTCTATTTCACTGGCAGTTTGAATTGGCATGTCCCAGAGGATAGTTACATCGTTATTTTGGGTAACTGTGTTTGGATCGTTTTCATACGATCTCTCAGTAGTTTCGATTTTGTACTTCTTGCATATATTCCAGTGGACATATGTCGCTACCTTGTTATGTCTGTGGGTAGATTCATTTTTCCCGGTTCTGGACATCCTGAGATAATATGGTCCACAGTTTCATCATATTTTCCACAGATCCTGCATCTCGGGTTCGTTTCATCCTTGATTATGTGACAGTGATAGAATCTGTTTCGGAGGCTTTGGTCCTGAGCTGCAATAATTAGGCCTTCTGTCTCAGCTTTCAACCCGGTGCTCCTCAACCACTGATGTGTTTTCTGTTGGTCTAGATCTGCTTCTTTCCTTCTTTTTAGGCATTTGTCATGCAATGCTTTGTCCTCACAGTTTTTTTTGTTTTCTTTTTGTTTTTTGTTTGTTTTTTTGTTTGTTTTTTGTTGTTTTTTTTTTGGGGGTAATTTGGCCAAGTTGTTTTGCTTTCTGTTTTACTCGTTTGGCGTAAATGGTATTCACTTCGTTTCGTTTTTTGTTGGTAGGATTTCAGGTATATATTTCAGTTTGCCAATCTATCTGACTTGTACCCTTAGCTACTGTTATTCATTAGGCAACTGTGGCGCTAATGAAAGGCAGAAGAGTAGTGGTGACAATGAAACTAATTGGAAGATCCCGCTTTTGACGTTGATTGGTTTCGATGGTATTCATCCGTTTGTATGGTTTAGTCTTCTAGTTTTTTATGCTCTCCATTATGAATTTGACCGTTGTGGGGCATACATTGTATATTTTTAGGCTCTTCTTTATCCATGAGTGTGGAACACTGTCGAAAGCCTTTCTGTAGTCGATTCATGCTATCGATATTTAATCCAATTCTGATATTTTCTCGGGTGCTTTTAAGTACTATTTTAGGTATTTTTTTTTCCAGGTGATATCACGCCTGACATCGACTAGTTTTTTATCATCGATGTTTAGTCTTTTTAGGGGTGTTTTTTCTCGCCAGATATTATAGTCAGCTTTGGTCGCTGTTGTCTTGTCGGATTTATCGTATCACTGTAAAATGCTATCATTACTTCAATATATTCTTCCCTAGATAATTTATTTATTGTCCTTTTTTGTGGGATTTTCTTTTACTTAATATAAAGGGCCTGTTTGAGAACTGTCCGTTTTCCTCTAGTTCTTGTTGGGTAGAATCTGTTCCAGGTGCAGACTTTTCCATTCCAGTCTGTTTCCTCACTAAGGACAACAGTCCTTGTTGACCCACGTAACAACCGATGCAGTTTAGCAATATTTTTCATTGTGTCAGTATTATAATTAGTTCGTATTTACCCATACGTGGCCTGCTGGTACGTGGGTGCCAGAGCATATCCATACCATGGTGAGATATCACGTTTAGGGGGCCGGGCTTCCTCCTGTTATTTTATTGTAGCTTGTTTTTTTTTGTTTTTTTGTTTTGTTTTTTTACTATGAAACTATATTCAAATCTCCCTAATCCTGTTATTACACGAATATATTTGACCTATAAATACAATTAATATATAGTTACTAATAATATTTAAAGAAAAGTTTATTATAGGTGTTTGTATTGTATGACTTATAAAATAAAAATTGTATATAAATTACTAATAATTAAATGAATATATAAATAAATAACAAAAGAATATTTTAAAAAATTACCGAGAAGTTGTTATCGCCACAATCATTACCACCATCATCATCACCACCATAATAACCACCACCATCATCATCATCATCATCGCCACAATCACCACCACCATCATCATCATCACCACAATTATCACCACCATCATCATCACCACCACCATCATCATCATCACCACAATCACCACCACCATCATCATCATCACCACAATCATCACAACCATCACCACAATCACCATCACCATTATCATCATCACCACAATCACCACCATCATCATCATCATCCACAATTATCACCACCATCATCATCACCACTAACACCACTACCATCACTACTACTATTGCATCCCTCTTTGTTTCTCTTTCTTCTTCTTCCTATTATCTATATATCTATCACATTCTGCTCATATCTATCTATCTATCTATCTATCTATCTATCTATCTATCTATCTATCATATTCTGCTCATATCTATCTATCTATCACATTTTGCTCATATCTATCTATCTATCTATCTATCTTTCTATCTATAACATTCTGCTCATATGTATCTATCTATCTATCTATCACATTCTACTCATATCTATCTATTTATCTTTCACATTCTGTTCATATCTATCTATCTCTCTATCTACCTATCTATCACATTCTGCTCATATCTATCTATCTATCCATCTATCTATCTATCTATATGTCTGTCTGTCTACCACATTCAGCTCATATCTATCTATCACATTTTGCTCATATCTATCTATCTATCTATCTATCACATTCTGCTCATATCTATCTATCTATTACATTCTGCTCATATCTATCTAGCTAGCTAATAATAAAATGCTGTGAATCGTACGTAGATTATTAGTATTATTAGTAGCAGTAGTTAAAATCAGTATTTTCTTAATTTAGTAAAGTATGTTTACTTGATACCTGTTGAATGACGGTTATGCAGTACTTATAAAATTGATCCCCCCTTGCGAATGGAAGGGGGATTTTCCATTATTGGTTTGCGATGCTAGTGCGATAACCACTTCCCTCGGCGAGTTCTCTACTGAAATAAACATCTGCAGTTATCATTAATTTTTATGAGTTGGACATTTTATATATAATTGCCGTTCTTTATATTTCTGCTTTTCCATTTTTCCTTCTTTTCTTTTTCATTTCTTTTTTCTTTTCATTTTTCTTTTCTTTCTTTTTGTACTTTTTTCATTCTTTTATTTTTTTCATTTTTCTGTCTTTTCTTCTTTTTTCTCCTTTTTATATTTCTGCCGAGTTTCTTTTTTTACTAACTTTTTCGTTGTGCCTTTTCTGTCTTTTTCTTTTTTCTTTCTTTTTCCTTTTTTCTTTCTTTTTCCTTTTCTTTCTTTTCTTTTCCTTTTTCTTTTTCTGTCTTTTTCTTTTTTCTTTCTTTCCTTTTTTCTTTCTTTTTCCTTTTCTTTCTTTTCTTTTCCTTTTTCTATCTTTTTCTTTTTTCTTTCGTTCCTTTTTTCTTTCTTTTTCATTTTCTTTCTTTTCTTTTCCTTTTTCTTATTCTGTTTTTTATTTTTATTTTTTTCTATCTTCTGTTATTTTTTTCCATTCCTTTTTTTTCTATATTCCCTGTTTTTTTTTTCTTTTTTTACATTCATTTAGTTTCTATTTTCCATAGCAAATAATTAGATTAAATATACAAAAGTAATATTCAACTGGCTTTTTTTCAAATTAAATCTCAATTTAATTTTGAACATTTATTTTGGATTCTGGTGGGTTACAGATTTAGGTAGAACGTCATAGATCAACTGCCGTAGATTTATATTTTAATTATTCTTCTCAATTCCAAACAGAGTAACTTACACTTTTATTTAAAATAATATATCTGTCAATTATCAATACAAAATAAGATCTCTTTTTTTCTGTAAGCAAAGTTGTTTAAAACTTTCTTAAATATGCACATATTCTGCATAACCTTCATATTAAGATTGGGTTCCAGCACAAGGGGGACAACTCTTAATTTGATTTTATAAAAGCATAATTATTTCCCTTGGATTGTTTTTTTTTTTAAATTCTTGTTTCAATATTGTCAGATACATAATGAAAATTCAAATTTCAAATGATGAAAAATGAAAACCTTCCACAGAAATAAAAAAAAAATGATATTTCGATATTAACGAGAAAAATTGTATTTTGTATTTGCCTTGATGTCAGTGGGCGGTATTGCCACCCCTTCCCTGTGAGGTGAGAAAAGGTTGACAGCCAGAGGGTGGCAGTGGTACATCTGAACAGTGACATACTCCACAAACAAACCCATTGTACCTGAAATGTTTCATGAATTCCCTTTAGAGTGTCTGCCATTTTATATAATAATTATTCATGGATATATAAAAATACTCATTTAACACGCAACACTAGCACCAAGAAAATCCAATCAAACTTTGGCTATATATTTGGCGGGATATTAGGTTAGTGTTTTACTGACCAAAGATTTTTGTGAACCTCTGGTCAAGTTTTTCATTACGATCAACCGTTTTACAGGACTTACAAATGAAAAAGAAACTTAGAAAACTGGAAAAGTTTCTTCAGTAAAACAAGCCTGCTCGGATCTCATTGTTTTTGTCCATGTTTACCATCACATCGACATTGACAACCTTCAATGTGTTTTGTGATTGTGAAGCTGAGAGTTTTTCTCTCTTTCGAATGCATCCCAGATATAACAGCACAGATTCAGGTCGTTGTATCACGCATGGCACATAACTGAGTGATTGCCCACCTTATTACTTGTGGATCCTAATGTAGTGAGTTCGATCCTCATAGAATGACATATAACTTTGACCCTAATTTGAGTAGCTTTTGGGGCTTGTATTAAAATATTAGTATATATAAAAGTGCATTATATCGCGTCAAATCATGTCTTGCGGCCACATCAGGTTGAAACATCGCTTCCTGTATGATCACCGAATTCAAGCAACGCGGAGCCTGCTCAGTACCTAGAAGGGTGACCGCTGGGCAATAAACAGTAAGCTTGGGCGTGTGGGTGGTGTAATAGACAATAGCTCAGAATTGTTCATAGGCGAGCCGAGTTCCAATTCCTGTTAAGTTCGTCATATTCAAAAATACCCCTGAGAAAAATATGAATCTAGCTCTCCTCTCTCCCCAACTATAGGTTAAATAAGATTTGTATCAGTAAATCATTATCATCTCAAAAAAAATCTTACAATCTAAAAGTATTTTCTGGCTTTAAATAACCTGTAATAGGCTGATAACCCGTAAAAAACGAAACACTCTATTCATCAATCAACCTATGCCGCAAAGCCAAACACGCTTGCGCCAAAAATATATTGATATATTGGTTATTAACTTAATCTTGTAGATCCTAATGTAGTGAGTTCGATCCTCATCGAATGACATATTACTTTTTGACCATATAAGCTTTGTAAATAAATAACGCACAGACAGACAAATTTTGCTTTGCTGTATTTTTAGACGTCCAAGCGCTTTGGCCGTCCTGGGTATGACGATAAAATACATCCTCGTCCAGGGTAAGACGATAAACTACGTCCAAAAACAAGGCCTCTGATCAAAAGATTTTGAGGAGCATGGAACCACCTCTTAATTGCTGGTGTTCTTAGGTCCACCCTGACCCGGGGTGGTAGCACCCGTTAACCCCGAAACTGAGGTAAAAAGCATTATGAAAGTGTAAAACTAGGTTTTAATACCAGAAATACTTTGTAAAAAATTATTACCAGAAATAAATTTTTGAAGAAGAAAAACTATTACCAGCAATACTTTTTTGAAAAAAAAATTACCAGCAATACTTTTTTGAAAAAAAAATTACCAGCAATACATTTTTTGAAATTATATTACCAGCTATATTTTTTGAGGAAAAAAATATTACCAGAAATAGATTTTTGACAAAACAAGAATATTTCCAGGAAAAAAGTTGTCGGCATTAAATGACCCATTGAGGTTGATATACCGTAAAACAAACCAAACCAAGCACTTTGGATTAAACTAAATGGATTCTATTTACTTTTCGCCAAACCTACCACGGACGACATATTGGTTAATCCTCCAAATGTACACGGCCTCATTAAGTTCAATGTCTCTTTAAGGTGATTATGGTCATCCAAAGCTTCTCCTTTTCTTTTGATACCTGTAAACTGTTCTTCGTTTAACATCTCCCCGAGTTTTGTTCTCCATTTGGACAGATTTCCAACTAAGGTCAGAGAAGACTGTTTGTCTAGTTATTTAACCTACAGCTCGGGAAGAAAGAGATAGATTTTTATACTTTTCCAAATGGTATTTTTGCGAAAGTGAACGCAAACTATCACGGCTTGTGTTTGAACTCTGCTCGCAGATTCCATTATTGTCAGTGTTTACTGTTAGTTCAACAAAACCACACATTTCAACAGAAAAATAAATTTCTAGTTTTTTTTTTTAATACACATAGACGGGGATTGGCTGAAAAGTTCGTAGGCTGATTATGAAGGAAAGATGCTAGAACTGTGAAATCTTGCATGCATTAATTTCAACTCTTCTTATTAATAACGACATTGTTTCATTCCAAGTAAACTTATATCGGAGTAATCAAAGACTTCCAAGAACTAGTTTGATTTTGGTTTGTTTTGTTTTACGGTATATCAACCTCAATGGGTTATTTAATGCGACAAAAATTTTATCGCTGGTAATATTTTGTTTTGTTAAAAATCTATTTCTGGTAATATTTTTTCCTTCAAAAATGTAATTTTTTTTTTCTCAAAAACGTATTGCAGGTAATTTTTTTTTTCCCAAAATGTTTGCTGGTATTAATTTTTTTTCTTCAAAAATTTATTGCTGGTAATATTTTTTTACAAAGTATTTCTGGTATTAAAACTTATTTTGGTACTTTCATAGTGTTTCGACCCTAGTTTGGGGGCTAACTATTTACCCAGACCAGGGACCCTAACAGGTGCTACCACCCCAGGCCAGGGTGGACCTGGGAAGAGGTGGTTTCACGCTCCTCAAAACTTCCTGATCAGAGACCTTGCTGTTGGACGTAGTTTATCATCTTACCCAGAACGCGGATATAGTTTATCATCTTACCCAGGACGGGATGTAGGTTTATCGTTTACCCAGGATCGTAGTTTATCGTCTTACCCAGGACGCGGATGTAGTTTATCGTCTTACCCATGACGGGGATGTAGTTTGTCGTCTTACCCAGGACGAGGATGTAGTTTATCGTCTTACCCAAGACGGGGATGTAGTTTATCGTCTTACCCAGGACGGGGTTTATGTCTTACCCAGGACGGGGGTTTATCGTCTTACCCAGGACAGAGACGAGGAATCGTCTTACCCAGGACTACTTTAGTTTTCGTCTTAACTGACGAAATTTCGTCTTACAAGACGGTCGATACCCAGGACAGAGAATAAATTAGCTAGTAACTGCAAATTTGCCTATGTTATTAAAGCCAAACATGTTCATGCTTTTCTTCTATGCACCGTGTCCGTTCAGGACGTGGTTGAGCATGGCTCTCTACAACTTCCTATCCTTTGTATCTCTTAGTAACGTTTGTCTTTTTATCATTACTCCCACCCATTGTTCCATCATCTATTCACACAAGCTCGTCATGTAGTGCTTTCCCTTGTTCCTCTTGCCTTCAGTAAGTCCTGTGAGTGTTAAATTCTCCAAGCCTTTCTTTCTCATTATACATCCAAGAAATTTCTTAATTCTTTCTTTCTGATTCTAAGTTTAGGCATCCTGTTTGTCTTAAGACGTTTTCCTTGCTTATACGCTACATCCATGGTATGCTCATCATCCTTCTGTAGAACCACATTTCTGTTGGCTCAGGTCTGTTCTTCCGCTATAGGGGCATTTTTCGGCATTCACTGCTATTTGGGGGGATTGATATTACATAGAATTTCAGCACCCTATCCTTAACCCTCAACAAAACCTTCTTTCTTTTCTTTGCTTTTGGAAGTCATCTTATTTAAGTCGCTCGGATTTTGATCTCGCATATTCCATCCTCTTCTAAAATCTATCTGGGAAGGGTTTTAATAGTTTAAGCCTTTTCAGCCAAGACCCGCCTTCCTACCTCCACAAGGTTGAATCATCTACATTAACTACGCGTTCCTTTGTTAATTACTAATCCATAATCTTATATAGATGCCCTTTTTAAGCGTTGGGTTATTTGGTTTTCTGTTACGCTAAAGGAAATAGAAATAGAGGCAGGAAATATTCCGAAGAATTTTTACCAAGCTTGTTTCACCATAGAAAAATTCTTGCCAATCTTGTTACACCATGAAGTCATTCTTGCCAAGCTAGTTGCGCCATGGAGTAATTCATGCCAAATTAGATTCGCCATGGAGTAATTCTTGTCAACCTCGTTTTGCCATTTAGTAATTCTTACAAAGCTTGTTTTACTATGGATTAATTCACGCCAAGCTAGTTTTCCCATAGTATAATTTATGCCAAACTACTTTCACCATGTAGTAATTCCCGCCAAGCTTGTTTAGCCATAGCGTAATTCTTGCAAAGCTCTTTCTCCATGGATAAATTCTTGCCAATCTTGGTTCACCATGTAGTTATTCTTGCCAAGATAGTTTCTCCATGAAGTAATTCTTGTCAAGCTTCTTTCGCCATGGAGTAATTCTTGCTTGGTAATTTTACTGTGTGATAATACTTGCCTAACTAGTGTCGCCATAGTTTTATTCTTAACAAATTCGTCTCGTTCCCAAACTCGAACCATATTTCATGTTCTAAATTTCTGGCCTTGAGCCATACAAATCTGCCTTTAATAAATAATATGTATTGAGAAACTGAAAGTTGCTAATGTATTTTATTCATTTCGCTTCTTTTTTTTTCTACGTATGCACCCACGTTACTGTTAAATAGCGATCTTTTTAATTATTACTTATATTTTTTCTACGGCATTCCGTGCATGTAGGAATCTGGGAGGATATATTTACCAGAATTGTGTATGTTATATAATCGGCATATACAAACTCAAAACTGGTTATTTTAGGTTACAGTTTAAAGATTTATGACATTTGGTTTCTAAAATAATTGCAATATTTTAAAAAAATGCGAGGTCATTGGCTACTTCGTATAAATCGCTTGGGATAAATTCAGGGTTATTTTTTATTAAAAAAGGCTAGTCTCAGCGTCTTTTTCCGTAGCGGCTAACTTTATACTAGCGAATCACTGCCATCCATCACACGGCAAAGATGTCAAGTCACGCTTCGTTAATTCCATAATTTAAGGGGCGTCACCCCAGGTGGGTTTGCAGTATTTACTATTTAGAAATTTCAATCTATTCTGCAGATGTCAACTAATGGCGACTGTTGGAGGTGCAGGGTGAGTCAAGGACATCATGTCGTTTTATCGACGACTGGGTTACGTGAATGACCTTGCATTCTTGAAGCCTAAACTCCTTTTTCGTTTTTGCTATCCATTTTATTATTGTATTAGCAGCTGTACTGGCAGATTTCCGAGTCATAAGACAGAAGTAAATTTACTTACGTGTGAGAGATTCAAGATTGACTATTACCCACAAATGAAAAAAAAAACAAAAAAAAAAAAAACACTCACACACACAATTTCGTCCCGGTCCATTACCAAAAGACTTAGAAAATAAGTAAATAGGTAAATCTAACGATAAATATGTCTGGCTTCTTTAACATTTTGTTACGACTGTGAGATGTTCAAAGATCCCGCAAAATGTTTTCCCTTAATATATAATAAGTGGCAAAACTTAGTCAAGTAGCTTTGTCAAATAGTCAAATTAATCAAATACTTCTGTCACGTACCTTTTTGAATAATTTCACCCCAAGTAAGACAATAAAGCCACTAATACGCATGAGGTGTGAAAGGCGAATATCGTAAGCCTCTCGCTGATCTATCACTATTTTCATTGAAAGGGTTCATGATTGATTGTTCTGTGATTCATTTTCTACGGCTTATCAACCCTTTGCAGGTTATTTAAAGCCAGAAAATATTTTTAAATTGTAAGAATTTTTTAGAGAAAATAAGTTTTACTAATTAACCCATAGATGTAAGGCAGAAGAGTTGGATTAAAACCTATTCAGAATTTGATAAACACAAGAAATTATAACGTGGATATAAAGTTGGGGGTCAATTCTATATTACAATCAATATATAAACTGATCCCTCACTATGTGGCCACGTTAGTTTCTATATATTTATATTCTAGAGCATGTAAATAAATCTAAAATACATGGCTGTGTAGTTAATTAGTATTTGATTAATTGATTGATAAGTTTTCTACGACTTATCAACCCATTGCAGATTATTTAAAGCCAGAAAATATTTTTAGATTGTAAGAATTTTTTTTAGATAATAATGGTTTAGTGATACAAGTCTTACTAATTAACCCATAGCTGGGGGGGGAATGTGTGGATTCATACCTTTCCCAAGGGTATTTGACTAACAACTCTGAGCCATTATCCATTACACCATCCACACATTTAAATGTACATGACTTGGTACATTCAAAAGGTCGCCCGTCTAGGTGCTGACCAATCTCGCCGTTGCTTAACTTATGTGATCGTATGGGAACTGGTGTTTCAACTTGATACAACCAAATGCCAGAAAGTGTTGAAACAAACTACATTCCTTTGTTCCACCATTTGAAACCTTCACAACTAAGACCTGCCACGCCCATTGTAGTGCCCCCCTCATTGCGCTCGTATTCCATTGGTGTAATGCATATTCCACTCGAACAGAATCTTCCAAAGAACCGCTGCTTTATGGAAACGACTCCCAAGAGGATGCTTTCCCGATCACTAGAATCTTAATCTCCGCATGTCTCGAGTTAACTATTATCTTCCCCGCCTATCCCTATAAACTGTGCTTCTTACTCTGTAACACTCTAGCTCGACTGGCTCTTGAGCCATGTATTGGGCGAAAATCATTGTAAAAAAATATGAGAAAAAGAAAACATTATTAAGGAGAGAGAACAATAAAAGAACAAGAATTAAGCGAGCAAATGTTAACGATTGACATTGCATTTAAATTTTTGAAGATCAAAATTGTCTGGAAAGCAAGACGCCCGAAGCGTTTAGTGCGAAAGAAGAAACTGTTAGCATAGAACTTACGGTTACATCTAGCGGCCATTTCAAGTGTAAAATGATTTGTCGCCAATCTAGTACTGCGCCTAGATGCCATAGAGGTATGCTCATCAGAATTATTACCTTGAAAATAGTTATACAAAATGTACAGAGAAGCCACGTTACGGCGATGAGAAAGTGTCTGCCAGGACCAATAAAAGTACGGATACTTTTCTTTGAATCTTATCAACTTATTTTAAACAAACTCCTACAAGTGTATGCTACAGAGGCACACCGGAGAAAGAGAGCCTATTTACTTAAAGGCTCGGCCAGTTAATAAGTCATCGTTATTTTTCTCCAGTGTGCCACTGTAGCAGGCGTTTTATTTATATTATATGCACGGTTATTCAGGATTATAAAGGCCAGCTATTGTTGAGCGCTATTTTACTTTAAGCAGTAGGTTCCATTTGTTGTTTTCGATTATATTAAGCACTCTCTCGATACGCCTGTGATCTTTTTTCTGTTGTTTCTTTTTTTGTTTTTATTTGTTTTTTGTTTCTTTTCAGCTGTTATCTGTTTTTGTTTCTTTTTTGTTTCTTTTTCTGTTTGTTTCTTTTTTGCTTCTTATTTTCTTTTTATTTCTTTTCTGCTGTTTCTGTTTCGTTTCTTTTTTGTTTCTTTTTTGTTTCTTATCTTCTTTTTTCTATTTGTTTTGCTTCTTATTTTCTTTTTTTTTCTGCTGTTTCTGTTTTGTTTCTTTTTTGTTTTTTATTTTCTTTTTTTTTTTGTTTTGTTTTGTTTCTTATTTTCTTTCTTTTTCTTTTCTGATGTTTTTGTTTTATTTCTTTTTTGTTTTCCGTTTTTTTGGTTTTTGTTATTTTTTTTTCTTTTCTTTTACGACATTTTCATCTCGGCCTGGGGGCATTTTCCCCGTCGGGGAGTTTGGTTGGCGTGTGCCTGATACGTACGCATCAGCTACCATCGTAATATGTTCAACTTGCCAAAGAAGCATCAAATGCCAATTTCCACAAGTAACAGTTGCCGACCATTTGCTGAGAAAAGATCATAGCATGACGAAAAAAGGGACCAAACTTAATAAAAAGAAGGTTTTATCGTCAAAATCTGTTATTATTAAGAGTAAAGACCAAATGATTTTCAATATAAAACTTATGTATTAATCCCTTAAAAATATTGTTTTTCTGGGGGCAACGAGGGACCACACATTTGGGCGATACATTTCCAAAGTGACACTCGGACGGTACATTTCAATGGGACACTTGGACGGTACATTTCAATGGGATACTTGGACGGTACTTTTCAATGGTACATTTGGATGGTACATTTCAACGGGGCACTTGGACGGTACATTTCAACGGTACACTTGGACGGTACATTTCAACGGGACCCTTGGACGGTACATTTCAACGGGACCCTTGGATGGTACATTTCAACGGTACACTTGGACGGTACATTTCAACGGGACACTTGGACGGGACATTTCAATGGGACAATTGGACGGAACATTTCAATGGGACACTTGGACGGTACATTTCAACGGTACACTTGGACGGTACATTTCAACGGGAAACTTGGACGGTACATTTCAACGGTACACTTGGACGGTACATTTCACCGGTACACTTGGACGGTACATTTCAACGGGAAACTTGGACGGTACATTTCAATGGGACAATTGGACGGAACATTTCAACGGGACACTTGGACGGTACATTTCAATGGGATACTTGGACGGTACTTTTCAATGGTACATTTGGATGGTACATTTCAACGGGGCACTTGGACGGTACATTTCAACGGGACACTTGGACGGTACATTTCAATGGGATACTTGGACGGTACTTTTCAATGGTACATTTGGATGGTACATTTCAACGGGGCACTTGGACGGTACATTTCAACGGGACACTTGGACGGTACATTTCAATGGGATACTTGGACGGTACTTTTCAATGGTACATTTGGATGGTACATTTCAACGGGGCACTTGGATGGTACATTTCAACCGGACACTTGGATGGTATATTTCAACGGAACACTTGGACGGGACATTTCAACGCCTTTTGTGCTTAAAAACACATTGATTTGAAAAATCGTGCAAAACCGGATAATTGTTGGATTTTGATAACATTCACAAATGAATGAAATTATTTTAAAATTGTTTCTTTTATATAAAATCTTGATAAAAATATTTTTACATCTGTTGCCCCACCCCCTAGAATTTTATGAAATTTCGAGGAAATTTTAATGTTTATATTAGTTATAAAGGCAATTAAACAAAGAATTTAAATCATCAATTTTTTTTTTTTTGTTAAACAGGAGACCCAGTTATAGAAAATACGCTCTGAATCATAAAATAAAAATGCAGTAAAACTAAGACATTATTTAATTAGAAAAGCTTTTAATTAATTTTATGAATAAAATATATAATGAACACTATTGTCTTAAGAAAATATTTTTCGATGAATTCTTACAAAAAAAGATTCTAATTAGAATTTTAATTAGAATCATTTATTTGTACTTGTTAAGTGATAGCGTTATTAAGTAAAAACTGCATTTTTTAATCATAAATGGAAAAGCTTTCTATAATTCAGTGAACCCCACTATCTTTAAAAGAATGTTAAATTTTGATTATGTGTGTATAAACGTGCCGATTTTTGTAAATACGATCGACCATCCGTGACATTATAAGAAAATAAGTTCGGTTACTATGGTAAATTTAAAATTTATTGCTAACTTTCAAACATTTCCTGAACAAGACTATAAAACTAAAGTACTTAAAAATAAATTAAATATTAAAATGCCTAAAATATTTTAAATATTTTAAGATTACTGGTTAGTTATATATATCAATGATGCTTTCGTTGTAATTGTCATGTAATTTTATTAAAATTATCTACCTCTTACATAAATTAGCTAAACCTCAGGCTGTCGATAAATGTGTCTACGCCTCATAAAAACACCCACTTCTTTGTTAAAAATGCTTTCCTGAGATGTTTTAAACTGCAAGTAATATTTGTTTCCATCCAGATTAATTAAACTTTAAGTCACCTAATATTTTTCAAATAACGTCTCAAAAAATTATATTTTATTTTTGAAAGAATTTTAATAAAGAGCATTAAGTTGTGTTGAGATATTTGTCAATATCAATAATTCTATCGATTTTAGTGATAGTCAGAAAAAAAATCATTCCAATCAATTTAAATACGGTTTGAAATACAGCAAAGAATTTTGCTTATTGGAAATATTAAATTCAATCTATTAGCATGGAATTAGATCTGAAATATGCCCAGACCTCATTCTCCAGCCTTGATAGAGTCCAAAAGCGTCTTGTGACTCACGAACTGTTCTCCACCCTGCAATTTCTCTTCCACAGGCGGAATGTGGCCAGCCTCGCGCTGCTTCATCGGAAAGTGCTCGGACGAACTACATTCCCTGGTCCTGCCAATTCAAAGCTTCACGGCAAGAACATGACATGCCACTTAGATAGTAGCAAATCGCCTACATTGCCACCGTATTCCATTGGCGAGAAAGAAGTTCTACTCGAGCAGCTTCTTCTCGTGAACAACTGCGCTGTGGAACATCCTCTCAAGAGGATATTCTCTCGACCACTACAAGCTTAACAGGTTCAAACAGTTGTCTTCCACTCCTATACACACAAATGGTCACCTAACGTAACCCTCTACTTGGAGTGGTCCCCGGGCCTTGTAAAAGGTGAACCTTACTATAAAAAAAAGGAAGTTCTTTGTCGGAGCGAGCTCTACCAGATGGGCTTTGTTTATTTTTTATTTTTTTATTTTTTGGTGGGGGTGTGTGTTTTTTGTGGGCGGGGTTCTTTTATCTTTTTTGTTTTGCTTTGTTTCTTTTTTTATTTCGCAAACCACAAAGATTCATTTAAATAACAGCACGACTTGCAGCCATAAGCGGCGGCTATTTTCTCTCCTAAACCCTTCTCTTGATGACATAATCCAAGAGGTTTGCTTTTTAATCTACATAAGAGGCAGGACACAAACACGGGCATTAGGACATTCTAGTCCTCTCAAGGAGAAAAAGAAGAGAGAGAAAAAAAAACATGGCGAGAAATGGCGATCACTAAAAAAAAAAATAAATAAATAAAAAATATAAAAAAAAAAATACGTCTCTAATAAAAATAAAAGGCGGGGAATCATGTTTTGGCGCCTCCTGGTCTCTGTCGGCTGATAATAGCAATTGGTCCTTTCTCTGATCTTCTGCTTCTAGGCTTACTCGTGTCCCTTCACCTTTGCTTGCAAGTACTGATAGGTTTCATTAAAAAAAAAAAAAAACGTGAGGTAGCAAAGTGATTGGTTGCCAGGGTTTGTTGCAAGGATTTTTCTATTTGTGACGCGAATACAAGATCAGAGGCGACCACCCATAAATACGATAAATTTCTTTTTTTTTTTTTTTTCTTTTGTAGTAGAGTTAGATAACAGAACAGGAGAGAAAAAAGAAAGAAATGGAAGACTTGTTATTTGATAACAAACTAAACGATTTCAGCATTTAACTAGTTCATTGTGTTGGAAATTCTTTTGCTCTTCGAGGTGTTCTGTGTTTCTTTTAATACACGGAGACACCACGTTCGAAGCTTTATCGACATCGGCGTTAGTTCTTTCTATAATATTTGAACAGATGAAGAAAAGTAAAACGTTTAATTATTCTTATAAAATGGCTGAGGTTGCCAAGTATTGATATACGCTTCTACGCATCAGACAGCATTTAGACATCTGGCGAAATATGTCACTTATGACACAAGACTGTTTTTTTTTTCTGTTAATATTATCAACGAGCGCTGGTCTTTTATCTCTTTAATAAATATACAAGGCATGGGAGCCACTCAATGTAGAGTGTTACAAATAAAAGATAATGACCAAGGTGGGGCAAATGAGGGGAAGGGAAGATGATAGGAAGTAGGGATTATGAGGATAAGGAGGATAGATAACAGCTGTTTCTTAGCATGAAGAGATCAAGATTAAATTATTGAAAGAAGCACTCACGTGTCTGTCTGGTCCCAAAAGTGGCATGTCTTGGGAAAAATGTCAGGATGGAACTTCCTCAAGGCTGAAAAAGGAGAAATGAGCAGGCTGACCTCCAAGACTGCCCTCCACGACTGTGTTACCGATTTTGAGCTCCAGTCCGTCTTATCAGCAGTAAAATATGGTATATGTGTTCAACTTTAGGTTTGGAGTGAACTTGAGATGAGGCACACTGGAGTAATGGATAACAGCACGGATTGAGGAATCGGAGAGCCGAGTTTGAATTCCAGTCGGATCCATTTTATTTACCAAATACGGTCAGCACATTTTGGCCGTGTTCATGTTATTAAGAGTTGGGTTTTTCATTTTTATTATTAATGCTTCCAATATTTTTAGTCTTTTTTAATATGTTGATTAGTCTATTATACTTGTATTTTCTACATGTATGTTTCAGATGGGATTTGGTAGGTGTTCGTGTGTTTAAATGAATCCTAATTGAGCTATGGCCAGAGACATATAACATGAATCTTCTAGATAGTCATGTAGTTGTATGTCCAATATAATTATTCTTGAGTTTGGTTTGATCAGGAACGCATTTTCTTATGAGGCATGTAAATTCATAAGTAATATTGTTTCTCTGTAATACAGATCTTGCTACTGTATGCGTGTGTGATGTGGGTGTTTATCTGTGTGTGCGTGTGTGTGTGTGTGTGTGCACGCGCGTGCGTGTGTGTGTATGTGTGTGTGTGTGTGTGCGTGCGCGTGCGTGTGTCTGTGTGCGTGCGTGCGTGCGTGCGTGCGTGCGAGCGTGCGAGCGTG